CGTTGTGATGAAGTGATTTGTCTCAAGATTATTTGTTTCATGTGATCAAACAAATAAAAAAATTTATCAGTTTCACCTTACAACTGAAAACGCCTTTACTGCAATCTTCTCTCCTCCTGATTCACCCCAGGCTGTTATTCTCTAGGCCTGCTGCACATCCCTCATCCTGAGACTTCTTTATCTTGCTCTCCTGTGTTAGATAATCTGTTTCCTAAATCCCATGTCCTCTCTCTTCAGACTGAATCCCTAGTTTTGGTGATAAATATCCTATGCTAGATTCCTAAGGAATATATACCTTTGCGATCTATATTTTAAAATCATGTTATTTCCAGAAATGTATTTGTTATCTTCATACTTGATTCATGGTTTGTCTGTGTATAGTATTCTGGGTTAAAAATCTTTTTTCTTCTAAATTATGAAGGTATTGCTTCATTGTCTTTTAGCTTTCAACACTGCTGTGAAGTTCTAATTCCTAATCCTTGCCCAACTACCTCCTTTTTTTCTCTCTGGAAACTTCATCCTTAGTGTTCAGAAATTACTCAATGATGTGGCTTGGAGTAGCTTCCCTGCTATTCCTCTATTAATTATACTTGACACTTAGTGGGCCCTTTCTATTGACAAACTTAAGCCCTTGCTCTGGAAAATAGCCTTGTGATATATTTTTTTGTATTTTTTGTCCTTTGATAATTCCCTACACTCTATTGTCTCTATTCTCTTTTTCTAGAATTCCCATTATCTAGATGTTAGATGTCCTAAAAGGCTCAGTGCATTCATTCACTCAACAAATATTACTAGATACCCATCATGTGCCACATGTTCTAAGTGCTGGGATTACATGATAAATGAGATAGACAGTATCCTTATCCTCCAGAAACTTACGTGATGATTTTTTTTAAATACTTCCTTTCCCAATTTTCAGTCTCTGTCAATTGTTTCTGATTTCTAAGTTAGCGCCTTAATTTTATCATCCAGTCCTTTGGTTAGTTTTTTAAGTCATTACACCTTTAATTCTATATTCTCCAAATTATGGAGGTAGTATTATTTCATTCTCCAAGGACATTTATTATGCTTTTGAAAAGGTTCTCTTCTATTTTATACATAATTTGTTTCTTCTCAGTGCCTTTGCTATGCTAACTTGATTATTTATTTGCGTTGGTCTCTTTCATGTTGGAATTTCCCTCAAATATTTGTTGATTGTCAGCAATCCATTCATATTTAAGTGTAAGGTAATAAAATGCTAAGGGAAAGCTTTTGGGTATAGGTATAAGGCTTGTTGATTGTAGGACAGTTGAATATAAGCTCAATTTTGTTGAATGATCCCTAAGAATCTGTGTCTCCTGTGGGGCGCGGCTACAGTGTTTTGGCCAGGTTCAAGCCTCGGACTAATGAAAGGACAGGGTCCTCTCATTGCCACGTGCAAGTCCCAGCTGGAGGGCAGGGCCCTCCCAGCACAATCATAGCCAACAGCTATGGTTGTAAGCTTGAACCTATGGTCCGAACACGTGGCCCCACATGCCTTGTGCTAGAGTTCAGGTGCATGTAGTTGAGGAGGGTTGGAACTCACGAGAATGCTCTAAACAACTTGATCACGCCCCTACTTTGCCTCATGGCATCTGCTATACAATAAAGACACGGCTTGTGGGCACTGGCGCTGTCTCCTCATCAGGGAGCAGCGTCCCACCGAGACCCAGCTATTATTCTCTTGTCTGTCTTTTCTCAATCCTTTCACCCCCCAACTCAGGATCACCTTTGGCCTTAACAGTCTCCAAATCTTTTCTCTGATTGGTACTCTTCCATTACTTCAAGAAAGGGTTCTCCAATCTCCTAGCTTGAAAGTATAAGCAAGTTGCAAGGGGAGGAGGAGAAACAGGAGCTCCCTATATCAACTATACCAATCATCCTGCTTCCAGCTCTTTGTCTCAGACTGCCTTCCCTGTTCCTGCTGCCCCCAAATTGTAACCAGTTCTGGGGTTCTACAATGAATACTGGCTCACTTCTCACCCAAATAACCTTCTGCAGACACTTAGGCTGTGGCTCTCCCCACATTGCCAAGTTTGTTCCCAAGGGTGTCTCTCAGCTTTATAGCTTCGAAAAAAGTTTGCCTACATCTCTTGTTTACATCACTGCTTTGTCCTCTCTATTTCTCTTTGTCATTGCGCATGTGTATCTTTTTAATTACTCAACATACATTTTGACTAGACTTCAGGGAGGAGTGAAAACTATTTAAAAAACATAATTCAGAGAGAACCAAGATGGCGGCATAGGTTAACGCCGGAGTTTGCTGCTTTGAACAACTACTTCAAAAGTGAAACCAAAAAACGGAAGGGACATCACCCAGAACCACAGGAACGCTGGCTGAGTGGAAGTCCTACAACTAGGAGGAAAGAGAAACGCATACGGACACTCAGAGGAGGCGCAGTGCTGAAGTCAAATTCTGAGGTGCGGAGTGCGCGGAGCGGGCTGGCGGCGGCGGAGGGCACGGTTGGCGTTTTCAATCGGGAGGGAGTCGCAGACTCTGAGCTCCAGATCCGGGCGAGTCTTTAGGGACCCAGACTCAAACGGGAGAAGCGGGACTGTCTGGCTTCGGTCAGAGCGAGTGCAGCTTTCTCTCCGAGGTTTGCAGCGGGTGCTAGGACTCAGAGAGGCAGAGCCCCTGGGGACAGGACTGAGAGCCGCCATAACTGCTCTCTCCGGCCCACCCTGTTGATCCTGTGCAACCCGCCCCGCCCAAGCCCTGCACACAGGCATTTGCCGGATAGCCTCAGGCAAAGGCTAGATTAGCACCTCCCTAGAGGACAGAAGTTCTCTCACTGCTGACACAGCTGATTCTCATAGCCACTTGGCCTGGAGGTCAAACCCTCCCTGGAATTAGCTACAACAATCAAGATTTAACTATAAGACTGCGAACAAAGACCACTAGGGGGTGCACCAAGGAAGCATAACAAAATGCGGAGACAAAGAAACAGGACAAAATTGTCAATGGAAGATATAGAGTTCAGAACCACACTTTTAAGGTCTCTCAAGAACTGTTTAGAAGCCGCCGATAAACTTAATGAGATCTACAAGAAAACTAATGAGACCCTCGATCTTATATTGGGGAACCAACTAGAAATTAAGCATACACGGACTGAAATAACGAATATTATACAGACTCCCGACAGCAGACCAGAGAAGCGCAAGAATCAAGTCAATGATTTGAAATGCGAGGAAGCAAAAAACACCCAACCGGAAAAGCAAAATGAAAAAAGAATCCAAAAATGCGAGGATAGTGTAAGGAGCCTCTGGTTCAGCTTCAAGCGTACCAACATCAGAATTATAGGGGTGCCAGAAGATGAGAGAGAGCAAGATATTGAAAACCTATTTGAAGAAATAATGACAGAAAACTTCCCCCACCTGGTGAAAGAAATGGACTACAGGTCCAAGAAGCGCGGAGAACCCCAAACAAAAGGAATCCAAAGAGGACCACACCAAGACACATCATAATTAAAATGCCAAGAGCAAAAGATAAAGAGAGAATCTTAAAAACAGCAAGAGAAAGAAACTCAGTTACCTACAAGGGAATACCCATACGACTGTCAGCTGATTTCTCAACAGAAACTTTGCAGGCCAGAAGGGAGTGGCAAGAAATATTCAAAGTGATGAATACCAAGAACCTACAACCAAGATTACTTTATCCAGCAAAGCTATCATTCAGAATTGAAGGTCAGACAAAGAGCTTCACAGATAAGGAAAAGCTAAAGGAGTTCATCACCACCAAACCAGGATTATACGAAATGCTGAAAGGTATCCTTTAAGAAGAGGAAGAGGAAGAAAAAGGTAAAGATACAAATTATGAACAACAAATATGCATCTATCAACAAGTGAATCTAAGAATCAAGTGAATAAATAATCTGATGAACAGAATGAACTGTTGATTATAATAGAATCAGGGACATAGAAAGGGAATGGACTGACTATTCCTGGGGGGGAAAGGGGTGTGGGAGATGCGGGAAGAGACTGGACAAAAATCGTGCACCTATGGATGAGGACAGTGGGTGGGGAGTGAGGGTGGAGGGTGGGGCGGGAACTGGGAGAAGGGGAGTTATGGGGGGGAAAAAAAGAGGAACAAATGTAATAATCTGAACAATAAAGATTTAATTAAAAAAAAATAATTCATTTTATCTAACTTAAATTTTCTAAGTTGTTGCTTAAGGGGCTTGCTTTCATTCTCCAAAAATAACAGTGAAGAGGACTGCATCCTCTACTGCTGCTCATTCTTCCCTTTCTGTTCACTCCAAGGAAGTAACTACTTACAAGATTCTGATTATATTAAAAACGATTATTCATCTCCCACAAAGCTACCACAGCATGCTGTAGCTGTAGATATTTTTAAACTATATCTTTAAATAGTATACATTTTAATTACTGGGATTTTCATTATTACATTTCAAAGCAGTATAACATAGACTTTATATAAAATATAATTAACATTATTGGGAAGAATAAGGAGCAAAGTACAAAACTCAGAATGTATTTTCTTCCATTTCAAAAAGTTCTCTCCCACCCTTAGCCCCAAAATACATCCCTGAGGCAGAGGGCAGCCAAGACAAGCAACTTTTCCATCATCTCTGGCAACCAACTCTTCTGACTGAGGAACTGTGTTAAGAAAAAATCTCCAATCTTCTTTAAGACAGACCCAATTACAAAGTTTATATAATTGCTTTATATCTACAGAGAATATGAATATTACAAATGACCCTACTTCTTAATGCTTAAAATTCAATACCATGTAGTTATAAAGGTCACAATACACAAAGTTCTTAGCCTATTGGATGTTAGTTGATTTCTATTTTTAAAAGTATAAATTCTAAAATAAATAAATAAATAAAACTATAAATTCTATAACATATATTAGTCATCTCTCTTTCATACATATTTCCTATAAAACCTATTTTGACTCCTACTCCAGTGTATATTACAGGCTTTTTAACAAAAAGGCAATCATTTTGGCTTTTTCTTACCTGATGACATGGTCTCTCCCAACATTACCTTGCAACGCTTACAAATTACTTTGGTATTTGCCTTTGGTTTCTGTAGAACAGAAAAATGTCATTTAAATGTCATTCTGCTTTTCTTGAAAGGAACATATAATTTTAACATAGTCTCTAGGGTATACATTGAACTTTACATTTTATTTTGCCCTCTCCTAAATACTGGGAATACATTTAGCTTGTATGCATAACTCACATACACAGACATAATTTTTTTCAAGTCTAAAGACAGAATAGTGAACCGAATGATTTTTCCAAACCTAGCCACTTCTTGATAATCTAAATGTTGCCAGACAATTTGAATAAGGAGAGCTTTACATTGCTAAAAAGCACCTGCAAATATCCCAATCATTTAGAATTGGCACATGGTAGGCAACAAGGGCAGAGAGGGTAGGTGACTTGCCTCAACTCATGTGTCTAGAAAACAGAAGAATCAGAACTTGAACTCATTATTTTGACTCCTACTCCAGTGTAGCTTATGTTAAAGTAATCTATAATTCATAACCACCCATCAGAAGCTAAAAATATCTAACCCATTCATATAATTTTATTTTTCCAGTTAACATATGCATCAGAACAGAAAAGATGGCTAGTGTCCTGGGACAAATTCCTGAAACATTCTTAAACTTCAAAAATCCGTACTCATCATTTGGGATACAAATTAAAATAGCTAGCATTCACTTAATCATTAAGCAAACAAAAAATGCTCTTTATGACACAGAGAATAGATGGTAGTTACCAGAGGTGAGGCTGGGTGTGGGTGGGGGCGTAAGGCAAAAATGGGTGAAGAGGGTCAAAATAGGTAAAAATAAGTACATTTTAAATAAATAAAGAAGTCCTGGGATGTATTGTACAGCATGGCAACTATAAGTAATAAAACTATATTTTATATTTGAAAGTTACTGAGAGTGAATCTTAAAAGTATTCATCACAAGAAAAACAAATGTAACTGTAAGGTGATAAATGTTAAATAGAATTATTGTGATGACCATTTTTGCAGTATGTACAAATAGCAAATCCTTATATAGTATACCTGAAAGTAATATGTTATATGTCAATTATACCTCAATTTAAAAAAAATCTTCCTAATTTGTGGTTTGTTGTAGAAGTTATGTTATAAGCAATAGCAAAGTGGTTAAAAGCTCAGAGTCTGGGGCCAGACTTCCTAAGTTCAAATCCCAACTCTGTTATTTACTAGACTTGTGACCTTGGGCAAGTTAACTATCCTGTGTTGGTTTCCTTATCTGTGAAATGGCCTTAATAGTAATCTTTAATTCACAGTTGTTTATTAGGATTTAGAAATGAGTGTTATAAAGCACTGTCCTGGGTACATGGTAACTATTAAGATGGATGTTACATAAATATACTATTGGCACAAATCATTCCAGAAATGGGCAGAAAACCCATACCCTCCCACAAGGGACTGCTTTTTTGCCCTTTACTAGGCAGCCACTGTACATTAATTAAGAATCTTAAAAAAAAAAATGAAAGCAAGCCCTTTTCACATCCATAGTAATACCTGTGTTAAAGCCACACACTATTTGTCTCACCCAGATATACTGCTAAATGGCAGAAGTCACATAAAAGTGGCCAGGGAGAAGACGTTTCTGCAACTCTGGCCACCTGAGGTCATCCCCCTTGGGAAGTCCCAGAATAGAATGCGGGTCTAAGTGAGGAAATAGTGACTTTCTGATGTGGGGTAACATATGTAGTAATCTAAGGAATAAGTCTTAACAGATTAGTATAAGGAAGTAGAATTATATATCCCATGACATAAATGTTTCCTGAAAAACTGTACACAAAGCACATTTAAACTGAGTTCCATGGATGTGCTGCTAGTACCTGATCTTTGTTGACATTTGAATCTTGGTCCCCTAGATGCTAAAGCTTATGCTTGTAATCACTATGCCAACTATTTTCCAAATCAATTCATGGAATCAATTCAATGGGTTACAGCCTGAATTAAAATACCACAGTGCTTCAAACATAAGGTAAGTACTGCTTCAAGACCCTTTTACTTGAGGGGTGTGTGTGTAGTCAAATCTTAATGTAAAAAATATATTTCTGAGTTTAATGAGAGATCAAAAAAAGTCCAAAGCCACAGGTGTAGAAACCAAGGCAGGAGCCACTTTGTTCAGGTTCAGGCAAGGTTACAGGAAGACAGTTCAGAAACCACTATGTTCAATTGTAAAGTTTGACATTTTGGCAGTCTCGTGCTTTCTTACAGTGAAACCTATCTGTATGGCTTCAAAAGTGGTATTAAAGATACTTTATAAAGAGTCCTACTTGGTACAAGTTAAGTCAGACCATCCCGATTAAGCCTTGCCTAAAACTAAGGATTTTACTAAAAATTAATATAGGGTGTTGGAGTAGCAATGCTTGAAAAGGGATTTTTCTATTGGAAATGGAAATTTTTTCATCAGGTGCTCTGTTATGTACTTTATTTATTTATTTATAGCACATTTCGCTTTGTCTTTCAATGAAGTAGGAAAAGTGGGTTTTGTTGGTATGTCCTTAAAATAAGATTCTATCTTTTTAAGACATAGTAATCAGGATTTTATAATATGATCAATAAAAAGCAAATGACCTCAAACAACCAAAAGTGTGACAGTGAAATATACTTTTAATACAATTTGGAAAATTTGTATACAGCCTTTATTGTATCATAAGTAATCACTGTTAATTTTGTCAGATGTGAAAATGACATTGTGGTTATGTAAAAAAGAAACACCCATATAGGGATCAAATGACATAATGTCTTGGATTTGCTTTAAAGTACACACATAAAATAATAATAAAAGGGACAGGTAAAGAATACTTTGTGAATCAAGTCAATTGGTATACTGAAGTTTAGAATTCTGTTCTGTTTACATTGGTGATGTTTACAAAGTCCAACACATCATTCTAAGAAAATAAAAAAGGATATCTTCATGGATTTAACAAAACACATTACCCAAATCAATAAATAATTGATAAGTACCCCAGGAAAGGAAAAAAGGTAAAGCTGGTTGTCATACTTGCCATCCTATATAATAAAACCCTTATAGGCAAATCGACCAAACATAGAACAACTGATCGCTATGATGTGCACTGACCACCAGGGGGCAGATGCTCAATGCAGGAGCTGCCCCCTGGTGGTCAGTGTGCTCCTAGAGGGGTAGGGCTGCTCAGCCAGAAGCCAGGCTCATAGATGGTGAGTGCAGTGGTGGTGGCAGGAGCCTCTCCCGCTTCTGCTGCAGGCGGGTGGTAAGGAGCAAGGGGTCCCGGACTGCAAGAGGGATGAGCAGTCGGACATCCCCCAAGGGGTCCCAGACTGTGAGAGGGTGCAGGCCGGGCTGAGGGACCACCCCCCACCCCCAAGTGCACAAAATTTCATGCACCGGGCTTCTAGTCTATAATATAACTGAAGTTCAATTTAATTTGTTCTTTAAAAAAAATGTGGTAAAGTCGTATATGTGGCCATACTTTTGAGAATAATTTTATGAATCTTACAAAATGGTTGGGGTGCCATCCTTACCACTCTATTAAAAGACGCAAAGCTTCTATGCTGGTAGACATGAAAATATAGCACAAGAGATAACACACAAGTGCAAAAACAGGAAAATCTCAGCAGGTATCTTTTGAAAACAAAAGGTATATATCACTGCCATGCTAACACAGGCACGAACAACAAACTGTACACTCTATGGGGATAATGAAGGGAAGAAATATGATGGACATTATATGTGTGTGTTTACGCTGTTTTAAAAATCAGATCTTTTTAATTAAAATATTATATTACTTTTAATTTTATTCAAAGAGAAACTCTGCTTTGTAATACATTGTTCTTAACCTGTGCTTAAAGGAAAGACTAAAGCAAGTTGTGCAAGGAAATAGCCTAATAGTGTGGGAACTCTACAGAGCAAACATCAGAGACACTGTTGTGACTAATTAAATCAATATATCTGAGAGATGGCACTGCTGCTCAGAGGGGATTAGACTCCTGTCCGCGTTTTTATTTTCCTTTGTGTTGTTTCCATTTCTAAGGACCCTTGATGTTGTCTCGCCAAAAAAAAAAAACGTTTCCCAAGAGATACCATTAGGATGCTGTGTCAACGTGTGACATTTCAAAACCCTGCTGGACGGCTAGGCTGGGTGGTATGAGAAACAGGTTTTCAACAGCGCAGAGCAGCCTTGTTCCCACAGGAGCCTTGAGAGCACTGTTTAAGCAGTCCCTCTAAATTTATGTTACTATTTTGGTCACGGGCATACGCTTTGGATTGCTGCAATATGCAATTAAAGTGAAACTTCCATCCAGGCTACCTTGAAAACAATCTTGCCAACAGTAGCTTGTCATGATAGTAATTTCCCAGTCTCCTTGATACTAAAAACCATAGTGTTTGAATAAGGAGGGTCTTCCTTTAAGAAATAGTATAGTTGTTCGCAGTTAAGAGAAATTGTTGTAAGTGGCATCCTATAACTGATAAAGATATAAATGTGAAGAATATATGTCAATAGTGTAGAATTTATCTAAAAAAGTGTAATTCATGGTTTCTCTTAATCTTCACTCCACTTCCACTCATGCCCTCCAAACATTTTTTAAAAATTTATAGCTTAATCATAAAAATCAAAGTTAAAATACATAAAACAGTATAGAATTAAAATATAAATTTAGTATAAAATATTTTAATAAAACCATATTAAACATAATTATAACAGATTTACATTAACTTCTTACCATTTATCTTTTAACATTATAGAATAACATACTCTAATTTAAAATGAACCATATTTAGGTAAAGGGATCTGGGTTACGGTGAGAGACGAGACATGTAAATAATTATAACAACTTAACCTTGTTATCTGAGGAACTTCCTTAATCCCCCTCAAAATAGAAAATAGTTCTATAAACTAACTTTCAACCCAAGAGCTGCCCAGCTGCTGCAAATTTCCTGAAGTGGCCCAGTTCTCATTACAAAAATTAAATGAGCTCTAGATGAAACTTAACATACATTGCCTATGTCCCTACCAATAAGCAGATGTTAGGATAAAAATTCCCTGGCAATGATGTTTTTTACCTTTTCAATCACATCTGTATTGACTTGCCATCAGGAGAATGATTTCTCGCCGGACCAAGTCAATGCCATTGATTTTCTTTTAAAATAAGGTAAACCACTTGTTCTCTGCGGTGAGAGGAAATTGCCTCCTCCCTAAAGCAACTTGGAGAGCAAGAGCCACCTGACCTCATGCTGTCAACCACCAGTAGAGCCTGCAGCACAAGCTTCCTTTCCACGCTTTTCCTCTTTTCCCTGGCGTCTGCTTTTATGACGTGAGCAGAAGTCTAGACTATGACCCTAACTGTAGTAGCTATCCTGGAGCAAGAGAACAATTTTAATTTAAATCAGACTATGAGGACAAAACGTACATGGATTATGGAATATCGTCCTCAAAACAAGAAAGTAAGTAGGGCACTTGGGTTTGTAAAATGGTAACATTCCCAATTCTAGACATGAAGAAATTCTCTCCCCTCCGTCCTTCAGCCCCTGTGGGCTGTTTCGGTCTTTAGAACAGTCTGTGTGACATACCCTGAATTAAGAAAAGATGGGAGAAGCCAGTTTCTAAGCCAACCTCTAAATTAGCACCAAGTATTCTGAAAAGGTATTTTACCGATTTAAAATGGTTCTCGGAAGACGGACAGTGCATCTCCCCTGGAGCTACTTGAGGACTTGGCTGCCACGTGTCACTTCTTAAATTCACCAAGTAGAAAGCGTCTCCAATAAGACAGTCGTTCTCTCGCGGATGAAGGGGCTTATTAGCAAAGGGGTCCGCATGGCAACACCATTCTCCAACCAGAGCTCCCCAGTTCTCCATCGGCAACGGGAGCACCCTGAGGAGCTTCCTAGTGGAAAGAGGAAAACTACTTTTTACGGAACCAAACAGAAATGTGACAGTTGCTTAATTAAGTCTGCATGAAAGGTGGAAAACCCCTCATTAATCACATTGTCCGCAGGGTTTATCTCTCCCTCTACATGACACAAGTATATACAACCCACTACAGACAATTCTGAAAAGACAGAGAGATTTGAACAAAAATCTTCCTTTCCTTACCACCCAAGGATAAGTGACTGCTTTGAACAAGATGGCATATTTCCTTGCCACCCTTTCAAGAGACAAAGCTGTGCACATGCATATAAAGTCAGAGAATATGTACAAACTACATGTTGCTTTTGTTGGTTTATTTAGTTATAATCATGATTCTTAATGATTCCATTCTATTCCCTAGGAATGCCAAAACTTTTAGATCATTCCCTCATTGTTAGATATTTAGGTTTTGAGCTTCTCATTATTAACAATCTTGTGGTGAACATTCTTATGGGAAAATAATCTTGTGTGAGATTAAAAGCACAAATGGAAAATAATCATTGATCACAATTCACTTCCTTTCGAGAGAGGAAGAAAGAGATACACATTGATATGAGAGAGAAACACGATTGGTTGCCTCCCGCACGCACCCTGACCAGGGATCAAACCCACAACCTGGGTATGTGCCCTGACCATAAATTGAACCTGCAGCCTTTTGGTGTACAGGATGACACTTGCACCAACTGAGCCATCCGGCCACAACTGGTATGCATATTTCTAAAGCCAATACCTATATTGGCCAACTGCTTTTCAGAAAGGCTATGCCAATCTATAATTCTTCCACTTACCATCTTCAAAATTGAATACTATAATTTTTTTCATGTAATGGGTGAAATGTTTTCAATACTGCTTTTTAAAATTTTTTTTATTTATTTTTAGAGAGGAAAGGAAGGAGGAAGGGAGAGAGAGGGAAGAAGGGAGAGAGAGCGAGAGCGAGAGAGAAATATTGATGTGAAAAACATTGACTGGTTGCCTCCTGCACATGCCCTGACTTGGGATCAAACCCTCAACCTAGGTATGTGCCCTGACTGGGAATCAAACCCGCCACCTTTTGGTGTACAGGATGACACTCCAACCAACTGAGCTACACTGGCCAGGGCTCCAATACTGCTTTAATTGGCAATTCTTTAATTACTGGTGTGATTGAATTGGCTTTCATATTTATTGATCACTGTTTCTTCTGTGAATTGTGATCAATGATTATTTTCCAATGAGGTAATATTCTTATTAATATGTAAAACTATATTCTATGTTAAGAATATCAGTCCTGCCCTAACCGGTTTGGCTCAGCGGTTAGAGCATCAGCCTGAGGACTGAAGGGTCCCAGGTTCGATTCCGGTCAAGGACATGTACCTGGGTTGCGGGCACATCCCCAGTAGGGGGCATGCAAGAGGCAGCTGAATCGATGTTTCTCTCTCATCGATGTTTCTAACTCTGTATCCCTCTCCCTCTCCCTTCCTCTCTGTAAAAAATCAATAAAATATATTAAAAAAATAAAAGAATATCAGTCCTTTGTCTAACATCAGTGACAAATATTTTTGTGTTACTGCCTTTTAATTTAGTTCACGTCTTAAATTTCAAATCACTTAAGCCTGTTTTTTATGATCTCGCCCACTATTTTTAATAAATGTTTTGGAGTAATTTTAGATTTACAGAAAAGGTACAAAACCAGTACAGATAGTTCTCATATACATTTCAGCCAGCTCTCCCTTATGCTAACATCTTACATAACCATGGGAGATTTGTCAAAGTGCAGACTTTATCTGGATTTCCCTAGTTTTTCCACTAATGAACTCTTTTTCTGTTCCAGGATCCAATTCTTGATAACGCACTGCATTTATTTAGTCATCGTGGTGCCCTCTTCTCCTCTGATCTGTGACAATTTCTCAGTCTTCCCTTATTTTTCAGGACCTTGAGATTTTTAAAAACTGCCAATCAAGTATTTTGTAGACTCTCCCTCAATTGAGTTTGTCTGATATTTTCTCAAGATTAGACTGGAGTTATGGGTTCCGGGGAAGCATACCAGATGTAAAGTGCACTTCTCATCACATCATATCAGAGGGTACACCTTATCAACATGACTTATCCCTGTGATGCTAATCTTGATCGCTTGGTTAAAATGGTATCTGCTAGGTTTCTCCACAAATAAAGCCACTATTTCTCCCTTTGCATACTCTTCCTATATCACTTGGAAGTGAGTCATGAAGTCCAGGCCACACTCAAGGGGAGAAAAATTAAGCGCTACTCTGCCATTATTTTTTATTCTTAGAACATCCTTAGAATTAAGTAGTCCCTTATATTAGCTACCAGGCTGTGTGTGTGTGTGTGTGTGTGTGTGTGTGTGTGTGTGTGTGCGCGCTTTAATAGATTCATTTATTTGCTGGACAACAACAGACAGCTGAGACTTTACCAGGAGGAAAGCCAAAGATGGTTTACTTCCATTCTACTCTAAGTTAGGATGATCAGTCATCTAAGGGGAGAAGAAATGAGAGCAGGATAATGAGAAAATTTCAAAAAAATTCATCCTGAGAGAAACTGAGAAGAGAAACAAGTTCTTTCTAATGTCTATGAGCACTGTGAAGCTTAAAGCATGCTGACTACTTACACACTTCGCTCCTGTTGAACTATGTACTTAATAAAAGTCAATTTTATTTTATCACAGACCTATTTATGCCACTTATACATGCTATACTAGTTATATAATTTAAATAGCATGTAATCCAAAGAAATATGTGTTGTTGCTATTCCTCTAAAAACTAAAGATTTCAGACTAGATGAAAGCTAGTTGTAATGAAAATCACGGGAAGGATGCAGGATATATAACTATAGAACACTGGGGAGAGGGAGAAAAAGATAAAAATCTAGAAAAATTCTGGTATCAGATTGTTTCAACAATTTTTCATTTCACTTTAAAGAAACCTGGAAGTTATAGATGATGAATTTTTGATGGCTTAAGTGAAAAAAGCTACACAACAGTGGAGTCATATTCAACAGAAAGATATTGGTTCCATAATAGAATACTAGTAAATTAATGTACATTTGCATGTTTTAAATTAAAATATTTAAGATGCAAATGTATCATTTTTTTAATCATTTCCTTTTTCTTTGATTCCCCACTCAACCATGAGTCTAATAAAAGGGCAATTACAATATGGAAGACATTTAATTTAGAACTCTAGAGGACAGAGCTGAGAACAAGAAAGACTAATTTTAGTTTAATATAAGGCAAAACGTTCCCTTTCAAAGTAGAAAATCATGCTCCACTAGCATTATTCAAGCTGCTGAACCTGTTACAAATATTAAGAAACGATTCTTTCAACATACGTTTTCTAAAAGTCTACTATGAACCAGGCATTCTGCTGACAAAAATATTAATACATACAGTCTCTTCTCTCAAGGGACTTATGTTCTAGTAGGAGACACAGACCTATAAACAAATAATAAAATCATAATATAATAAATGCGCATAACAAAGTAGTTGTTCTAAATTCTTATAGGGCGGAGGGGAGGGAACAGCTCAAACTCCCTTGAACATTTGATGAAAGCTTTATAGCCCCTTCAAACGTACATTCCCACATGCACACAAAATTGATATATTACTTTAGAGGATTCATTTATGGCTTCACAAAACCAGTCCATGAACTCAGGGCAATATGTACAAAGTGCTAGAGGGGTAGAGTATACATGGACTTCAGAGAAGAAGGGACATCTGAGCTGACATCTGAAGGATAAATAGGAGTTCTCTAGGCAATGAAAGAAATTAAGGGCATCACTGGGTGAAGGAAACAATATGAAGATGGCACCACATCCGTTTAACTCACCACTGCATTCCTCGTGTCGGGCACAGTGCCTGGCACATAGTGTAAGCTCTTAAATATTTGTTCAAGGAATGAGCAAGCATATTTTGATAACTTTAATATGGGAGGTCCCTGGCTGGGTCTGTTGAATGCTCAGATGAAAGAGTTAACAAATCTTTTCCTTGCCTTCTTGAGAATCTGAACTTTGGTTTAACCACCTAGTTCTATTCCTCTGGAAGCCAAGTAGATGGTAGACATGAATTATATTGCTAGGCAACACTGCTTATGGTAAAAAACAATCCCTGCTTGGTATCTTGCATTTGGATTGGTAGGAAATATGAATGAGCTGTAAAAATCTGATGAGCATGCCATGCGTTGGACTTCCCCGAATGCAGTCTTTTGTGGGCAACTACAATATGGATCTTGATCTTTGTATCTAGAACAGTGATGGCGAACCTTTTGAGCTCAGCGTGTCAGCATTTTGAAAAACCCTAACTTAACTATGGCACCGTGTCACATATAGAAATTTTTTGATATTTGCAACCATAGTAAAACAAAGACTTATATTTTTGATATTTATTTTAAATGCCATTTAACAAAGAAAAATCAACCAAAAAAATGAGTTCGTGTGTCACCTCTGACACACGTGTCATAGGTTCGCCATCACTGATCTAGAACCATACACATGGGCAGTCTACAGTCCCCATACAGGTATATGAGCCGTCACTTGTTTGAACTGCTGCAAGACGCCTGCTCAGAGGAACTCCTGATGCGGGCCTGGTGGCAGGAAATGTGGCCTGTGGTGGTGTTGAGCCTGAATGTGTAGTTAAACTTAGAAGACCTCTGGTGGGCACTACATACAGCTTTTCCATCTAATGTTTCCTACAACTCTGTGAGACAAGAATCTGCATTCCTCAGAGGGGGAAAGGTATTTCTCATGTTTTGAAAGAACAAAACTTTTAAGAACAAAAGATGTATTTTAATCACAGCTGTACTAAAAACCAAAACTCTAATCTGATCTACTTCCCAGAACTTTCACAACAAAATAGATACCTTTTCTTTCTCACAGTAGTTTTAAGGTAAAAATGCGCAGAAGCTCAGGAAAAGAGTGAAATGATCTCTTGAATTTTCTCTCAGCTCAAGATTCTAAGATGTACAGCAACATGTTTCTAATAAATTA